GAGTGGTTATCAGAGGTTTCTAAAGGTAAGGACAAGCAAGTGCTTTAATACACTCTCCAGTTCTCTTAATGTCTCTCCAGAATTATGCCTTGGGGTAGCTGTGAACTGGAGTGGGTCCTTTCCAGCTCTGTCTGTGGCCCGTTTTATTGCTCTTTTCAAGTAGTGGGCCTTGAGAAATACCAGTAGCATCCCCATCAGAGATGGCTATTTACAAGTCAAATTAGGGGTATAAGCAAAGCTTTGGATGAGGCTAGTGGACATTTTCACTTTTTGCTGTGTCTGTTCAGTAGCACAGAGAGGCAGTGCTGGCCTTTCACAGAGCTGGGTGAGACAGTGCAGGATTTAAGGGCCTTACAGGCTTATCAGTGTCTCATAGGCTTCTCTGCCTGACAAAACAGTCTGTGCAGCTTTCCAACCTGAGCAGGATTTGGGACCACGCATGGAGCTGAGCCTGAACCTGTAATCCTGGCTGGACTGAGCTGGTTTGGCACAGCCTTGCTGAGTGACTTTATCTTTGGAGTTAATCTGTAACGCAGAATAGCTCTGGCTGTGAATAAAACAAAGTTGATTTTATTTCAATTTCCATTGAACTGATGAAATTTGAAGCTGTTTCCAGAACTTAACATCCATTCTTTTCCTTTGCCACCTAAAATAATTCTTTCTAAATATTTCTCAACTGCAATATTGTACCCTTGATTTGATGTACATGGCCATGCAAATGGTTGTATGTTTGAATGTTCTGCGTTGGTATTTGACAAAGACTTGAGGGGGTGTTGTTTGCTCAAGTCACAGTCATTGTACATCATGTTTCAGTTATGCCTCTTAGTTCTCTAAGAATGAAGTTGGGAGGTGGCACTGCTGCGGGTACTCCTGCATTCCTGCATCAGGGGATTTTCATGTGGTATCTCAAGTAAAAGAGGAAGACCAGTCTTTTAAGACCTGAGATCCAAGTTTTGGGCTGGTGCAATGACATTTTAAACTAAATATTTACACTTGATTTCAGTCAGTTCCCATTAGGGAATTGAAAGATGAAACACCCTGACTTTATTGCAGATGGCTTAGCTGGCTTTCAGGTTTCAGTGTTGCTTTTCATTCAGTTATCTCTGTTCAGGTAGTGCAAATGGTTGCAGGTTCTGTTTCCCACTTGCTGGATCGAGGTATAAATCTGTCAACTGCTCTGACTTGGTGAGATCTTTAACTCAGGAAACGAAGTGAAATTTCTAAACAAAAAAGTTCTGAGCTATCCAGCAACAGAAGTGAGACAACTTGAAGTTGTTTCCCAAGTGCAGAAAATCATGTTGAGCTGTGCCAGCAAAGACCTATGTATACATGCTGTTTAAGCTTCTAAAGTTTCTCTTGACTGCATCATTTTGGAAGGGTCTGCTTTAGCAACTCAGCTGTCAAAGAGGGAATGACAAGCCACTGGAAGTGGTCACCTTTCCAGCTGGCATAGTGCTTCCAGAAGAGGCTTTGCGTCTGTCCTTTGGGAGGCAGACTTAAAAATGTTTGAAGCTTTGTCAAACTCTAATGTGAAGAACATCAACTGAAACATGGTGCGAGATTACTGATCCAGGTCAACAACTGCAAAAATTGCTCTGCATGTATAAGGACATCAGAACAAGGGGGAACAACTTTAACCTGCCGGAGGGGAGATTGAGATGAGCTCTCTTAGTCAGACGCTCTTCCCTGTGAGGGTGCTGAGGCGCTGGCACAGGGTGCCCAGAGAAGCTGTGGCTGCCCCATCCCCATCCCTGGCAGTGTTCAAGGCCAGGTTGGACACAGGGGCTTGGAGCAAGCTGCTCTAGTGGAAGGTGTCCCTGCCTGTGGCAGGAGGTTGGAACAGGATGAGCTTTAAGGTCCCTTCTGACACAAACCAGTCTGGGATTCTATGATGCTCTGGGTGGATTTTCATTAATGGGTCTCATGAAATCAGGTGGGGAGTTGGAAGTGAAGCATCCTCATAAGTAAGGACAAGTGACCAGGATTTCACTCAGGAGCACAAAAAGTGCTATCCAAAATTGCAAAGAGGTAATGACAGAGCATGTCATTGTTACTTCCGTTAACAACAGAAATATTAATGCATTCACCTTACCTAAAACATAATTTTTTCATTTCCTCCTCTTGTTTGTGTCTGAAGGTTTTCAGGCCGTAGCCTTTTGGCTGCTATTTTGAAGAAGAGTAGCAGTGGTGTTTAGACTCTCTGTTTCTCACAAAGGCTGTATTTGCTTATGGGAGCTAAATGCTGATTCACATGGAGTGCAAGGACTTTGATTTTGACAAAACCTGTATTTTGCAGAACAGTATTATTTTTGGGAGCAGTTAAAACTTGCATAAACAAAGGTGGTCTTTGTACTGGCAAAGTTTTCTTGCTACTTCTCCTCTCTCCCCACCCTTCTCCCCCCCCCCCCCCCCCCCCCCATCCCATTCACTGCTTAAGTTATTGCTGCAGCTAGAAAGATCTTTGTTGCTTTCAGATTCTGTCACCTGCGTAACAAAACAGCGATTGAGTTGTATCATTTCTGAGCCTTCAGAAATGTTAACAGATGTGCCTGTTCTTGAAAGCCAAAGAAGATGCCGTGTGAAGGGAAAAACTAAACTAGCTGTTTAGTTTTAGAAGCTAAGAAAGACTAAATGTAGATGGTAGGATAAAAGCAGGAATGTCTTTTTATCTTAAAGTTTCTTAAAACTGAAAACTGGTTTTTGTGTTCCAAAGCTACTTGAACTATGTGGGTTGATTTGGCAGGAAGCTTGGTCTGCATGATATATGCTGATATAGCTGTAGTTAATGGGAGTACGTAATCGGGGTGTGTGTCACGCTTGTACATAACTTTCACTGATGCATTTGTGCTTGGCCTTTGCTCAAGGGCAGAGATGTGCTGAAAATCTCACATAATAAAGGTGTGATTTCAGAAGTCACTTCAAATGATACCAAGATATTTGTAAGCTTTAGGTTGCACATTAAGAAAAACTACTTGCACAGGAGGATGGTGGAGCAGTGGAGCAGGTTAGTCAGAGATATACAATCTTCTCCCAGGGAGGTTTCCAGGTCAGCATCCATCTAGCATTGCAAGTAGCTCTCCTTGAAAGGGTAGGTTGGACTGTATGACCTTCAGAGAGAGATCCCTTCTGCTTCAATGAGTCTAAAAAGATGCTGCCGAACATACTTCTGCGGGATAATATTGTGAGAATAAGCTTGCCTTGGAGTTCCTGTTCTACTGGGACACTGAAATAGTTAGTAAATGTGAATTCAGTCATGTATAAAATAAGTATGTTTTCACTGTGTCAAGGTGAAAGAGCAAATGGTTTTCCCTTGGGACTGGCTGTACTATAACCCACAAATGACTAACCTTCAGGAGTCCTGAGATTAACTTCCGTGGATTTCTGACAGGGCTTGGCAGAGTGCAGGGTAGTTATGGAGGTTCTTTTCAGTCAGAGAAGCAGCACAGCTTGAGCACAGATAATGTGAAACGTTTTGAAGGAGAGACTTTAGATTAGATTTTAGGCAGAAGCTGTTCCCTCTGAAAGGTGCAGAGGCACTGGCACAGGGTGCCCAGAGAAGCTGTGGCTGCCCCATCCCCTGGCAGTGTTCAAGGCCAGGTTGGACACAGGGGCTTGGAGCAAGCTGCTCTAGTGGAAGGTGTCCCTGCCTGTGGCAGGGGTTGGAACAGGATGAGCTTTAAGGTCCCTTCCAACCCAAACCATTCTGTGATTCTATGAAAATCAAGATTACTAGGAAGGACATGTACCTTTTGAGGAGGGAGGCAAGTCTTTCCTAGGAAATTATGCTGGACTTGTGCATTCCATAGTGCTTTTGAAAGTATGATGACAAGGTCAATAGTCCTGTGTGCCTTTTCAAATAATTTGCAAATTGCTGAATGCTTGACCCTTGAGATTTAGTTCTTTTTTTTTAATCTGCTTCTTTTTCTCTCTCTATATGTATATACTTTTGAAGTCCATGCAGCAGTTAGATGTCATTGTAGTGAACTCCTGGGCCTTCTGCCAAGCATTCAGTATTGTCAGGATGGTGGATAAAGTACAAAGAAAAATGCTTCTTTGTTTGCTTGTAAAACCTTACAAGTAACATGTAGCCTTAGAAGTAAGATGCCACTTACTAAAGTAACATGAAAACCAGGCTGACCCTCACTTTATGCAGGTAGTTAGAATGTAGAGTTTACTTTGACATGGAAGATCTGCAAATGTCCCTGAATTAATAAGAAAGTCTGAGCTAGACTTTTTGCTAGACTTTGGCACAGAGGTGTCTGTTTAGCATTGTAGAACAGTATAACAGTGTAACTGTTAAGTGAAGATCAGCCTTTTCTGAAGCACTAAATTGAACAAAAATGGCCTGAAATTTCAGCAGCTCACCATTATCATTGCATTGATCCTGTAGTTATATTGGCATGTTTGGCAGAGCCTTGTTCCTGTGCACTCCAGAATATGGTTTCCACAAATGTTCCTGTCCTTTTAAAAAAGAACAATAAGAATTGTGTGTTTTTAAAAGTTTTTCTACCCTAACTTGACATTCATTTGATGCAAATGTGGTAAGATACAGGAGGTAGTTGGAAGGGAACTAAACATTATGTTTTGGCATAGGATATTCTATGGGCAAACTGATTGACCATTTCCCAGGTTAAATTGTGTGCAAATGTGATTTCACTGTATTGAAAAATACCCCAAAATACGGACAGTCATTTGCAAATCTGACTTGAGGTGGAGGAATGCCACATGCCTTCTTGTACTATTTCCTTTTTGTGTTTTTTGCTATATACATTGCACTGCAAGAGCAGAGCAGTGAAGCTGTGGTGTTCTTCCCCTGCGTTTTACAGATGTTTGTAAATAACTTTGAATGGAGACTGTTGTGCTTTAATAAAAATTGAAAATCACCAGAAGTGAGTTTGTTCTCCCTGTAGAAAAATAAAATGTAGAAGAAAGGAATTCAGATTGTTTGTTCTCATGTAATTGCTTCTTTTTATTAATTCACTTTCTCTTTTTCTTCCAAGTTTGTGCTGAAGCTTTCAATCCAGATGAAGAGGAAGAAGACACAGAACAAAAGGTAAGAATGAATTGCATCGTGCATGCTTCTCCCTGCAGTTTGACAGCAGATGTCTGTACATCACCCTTTCACTACGACTTGTGCGTGGCATGCTGACACTGACAATGTGACATTGCTCTGAAATTTAGGGCCACTTTGGCTCATGCACATATTTACTCACTGTAGCTTTAATATAGTTTCACTTCAGAGGACTCAAGAGCTGTGCTTAAGCCTACCTTTAAAATGTTGGATATTTTCCTTTCTTAATTGTCTTAAAGGCTCATTGAGGCAATTCCTAGAGCATCGATCGATGCTGTTGTAAAGAATTAGTTAAGCTTGACCACAGCTGTTTCTTCATGGGTGCTTAAAATTCCTCCTATGCTTATTATTGCCCTGTCAGAGCAGTTCTGCCTGGGAAGGAGAAATGCTTCACTGAAATATTTTGAAGTTGTCTCCAGCTGTTCTTTTGTTGGTTTTAAAAGCTGGGAATTTCTAGGAATTGCAAGTCCACATATTGGAATTGTATTTCTTTATGTGAGTAAATTCTGTAGCCTAGCTGGTGAGAGTTCACGTTTTCCTCTCTGGACTTCTGGTGTTCCTTTTCCAGATTCCATTTCAAGGATGCTTACGCTTCTGCAATGAAAATCTAAGTCTAATTTAATTTCTCTTAAAAAGAAGGTATTTAATACATAAGATGCTATAAAAATAAAAAGAGAAGATTATGAGTGTGTCTGATCATCCAAATGTTTTTAAACTTGGATGCATTTATTCCATCAAAAGTCTTCATTTTCCAGACTGCTGATTTTCTTTTAAAACAAGGATCTGAGCTCTACTTAACTTTCAATTAATTTTTAGATAACCCTACTGATGTAACTTGTTCTGGAATCCTTGTTATTCCAGAAATATAGTTGATGCAATGAATGTGAGGTAATAAATATTTTTATCTATATGATTTCATAATTAGCTGCCAATAAAACACATCTAAACATTCTTACAGCATAATGAGTGTTGGTTCCTTTAACCTGATGAGATGTTTATAATTGGAAAGAAGTAGGAAAAAAAAAAATCTCTCAAACAGCAAAGCTTTTATTAAAGTCATTTTGTTGGGGAAACAACTCTAGGTGCTTCTTAAGTAACTTCTGTTATTAGATGGGCTGAGATATATACGTATCATAAATCATGCAAACTATCTGCATGGTAACAATAAACATATTGGGATTAAAATAGCCAGAGTTTAGGAAGAAAGTTGTTTCCTTTTCCTCTGTTCCAAATGCTCACACCTTGACTGTATCTGTGGGTGGCTTAGAAGGGAAAGGGAAGGAAAAGGCATCCTTCTTTCTTGTCTGTCTTGACTGTTATCTTCCATGTGTTAGTTGTCAGAATAATACATACATACATATTTACATGTATAAAATGCATAAATGCTGTTTATGCAAACAACACAGGAGCTGTATACTTTTATACTGTTGAATTATGTTCTGCATTTTCCCTCTGAAGTGCAGGTTCAGTCAGTAATCATATTTCTTGGTTGTCATGACATTTGTTTTACTTTTCTTTTAAAGATAGTTCATCCAAAAACTGATGAACAGCGATGCCGACTGCAGGAAGCATGTAAAGATATCCTTCTCTTCAAAAACCTCGATCAGGTAATTCTATTCTTAACTGGAGTCGATGGTTTGTAGATACAGGTAATAGCATGACCTAACAGTCCAGACACTTGTTTGCACTGTGATAGTTCATGAATCATTAACTATAGGCAGGCTGGGCTGGGGCATATGTTTGGAGATGAGCAACCAGTGAACAATCTAAACACGATCAGGGGGCTGGAACACCTCCTGTATGAAGATAGGCTGATAAAGCTGGGGCTTTCAGCCTGGAGAAGAGAAGGCTGCGTGGAGACCTCATAGCAGCCTTCCAGTATCTGAAGGGGCCCTGTAGGGATGCTGAGGAGGGACTCTTCATTAGGGACTGTAGTGATAGGACAAGGAGTAACAGGTTAAAACTTAAATGGGGGAAGTTTAGATTGGATATAAGGAAGAAATTCTTTACTGTGAGGGTGGTGAGGCACTGGAATGGGTTGCCCAGGGAAGTTGTGAATGCTCCATCCCTGGCAGTGTTCAAGGCCAGGTTGCACAGAGCCTTGGGTGAGATGGTTTAGTGTGAGATGTCCCTGCCCATGGCAGGGGGGGTTGGAACCTGATGATCTTAAGGTCCTTTCCAACCCTAACTATTCTATGATTCTATGTCAAGTTGTCAGTTACCATCATTTTCAGATTCCTCTTGAGAATTCCATTTTGTTTTTCTTCCTGTTAGAGAAAAGGTTTTTGGGTTTGTTCTGGTTTTGATTCTTTTGCTTATCTTTCAATGAGATGTTATCTTTTCTTGGGTACCATTTCACCTGATTTCATTTTTCCTAGGAAATAGCTCATAATTTTATGGGTGATTTAAAAAGGAAATCACACAGTTGTGATATTGAATGTTACGTATTTGCATGATTTCAGATTGTTGCACCATTTCCTGAAATGCCAATATGTCTGTAAACTTTCTGTAAATGAATGTAAATTAATGTTTTTAGGTTGCTCCTGTTCTTACTGATTTTTATTGCTGAAGTTGGTTATTAATTACTCATTGCCTCAGCACTGCGTTTTAATGATGGTTGTTGCTTGCACTTTGAAATTTTAATTGGTAAGAATCTTTTAATGAGGACCGTAGGTCAGGAACAGACGTTTGGAGATCTCTAATCCAGCCTCAGAGAGGCTGTAAGATAAATGCATCTCACCTCGGGTCTGGTGTTTCCACGAAAACAGAACTGTCGGGTTTCCAAGAAAACTACTGCAGGTTGGGGAAAATAAAAGCTCTAAGAGCAGTGCTGGGTCCTGGAGATTCCTGGGTTTGAATCATTAGCTTTGCCTCTGTGTAATGCAAAAGAGCGGATGCATTAGCTTACGGCTTGAAAAGTGCTGCTCAGTTTTCCTTGAAAACCAGGAAGTTCTCCAGTTCTTGGTTGCTGTACAGACCCCAAGAGCTCAAATAATTTCAGACTGTCACAGCGTTTTTACCCTGAGATTTGGAGTATCTCCAATGATAAACTTGATTTATGTGTCAATATACAGTGCTAGGGGAGTAGGTGACTTCTCTCCTGCTATGATGTATCATGCTCTGTATGATATATCATGCGTAGGCTCCACAATGTCTTATCTGTAGAATCCTAGTTACAACTGAATTTTGTACTGGGTGAGAGCAGTGACTGTTGCCCCAGATTTAAACCAGGAGGGTTTTTTTACACTTCAGAAATCTGATGAAGCTTGTCCTTTTGATGACAGAAGAGCCCAATGTTTTATTTACTTAAAATGAGTCTTTTCCTGTTTATCCTCCAAATAAAACATTATTGAGTTACAGTGTTTTTAAAAAGCTTTTTAGAATCTGCATTGCTTGTTTCCTGACAACTGTTAAAATGCATGCTGTGAAATAGGTGGTTAAAATAAATGGCTTTCATGCAATAATTGTTTAGCTTAAATATCAGGAGAGTTTTTAAAGCCAAGAAACCAGGATTCTAGTGAAGATATTTTCAATATAGTGGTGCCTGCTGAGGCTGAAATGATTATTCTGAATTTAGAGTGTAGTAAATACTTCAAGTATACCTAGCAGCATAAAGACTAGTTTTAATGTTCATGCAGTATGTTTTTGGAAACTCAGCTGTGATATTCATCTTCAACTTTGAAATGCAATGAAAGTCTATTGTTAATGGACTTTGGAATAATGAAGATGGTAAAGCAGGTCAGCATTGAGGCAAGGTACTTACATGGCATTGTTTCTCTTGGCTTTCCCTGCCTGTGTTGCCTACAAAACACGTTTAATCATGGCTCATCAGAGAAACCCAGCCTGAGTCTGGTGCAGACCAACACTATCCCATTTTCTGTATGTGCTCCCCATCTGCACCTGTCTGATCTCGTCTTGTGCTGGGATTGCAGGTTCCCTAATATGCAGACTATGCAGGGACATAACTCTGTACAGAGTCTTGTTCACTACAGTCCTGATCATGATGGAGGCTCTTCAGTGATGACAGTACATATAAGTGACTCATAAATCATGGTGCAGTTTCTAGTCATACATATAATGAAATATATGTACTGTAGACATAAATCAGCATGTTTCCATTGCAGAGAAGCTGTGTCAGATTATACCAAAAGAGCTTTCTGTACATGTGCGCTTTGGCACTGAAATGGTATGCGTAGGTTAAGCCATTTGGACCTGAATTTGAGATAATGGTTCTTCTGTAACGGAAGTATCAATGTTTGCATTATTGAACTTACATTAATCAGCTGGAAACACATGAGGTGTTAGTGGCAATCAACATTAATATCAATATTACTTGTATTACCCTACCGTAAACACAGTGCGATGTGTGTTGCACTTCACTATCCAGATCAAGTCACATGAACTCGCCCGTGTCGAGCAATAATGCTAAGGTCCATTTCCTGAAGGTTTTCAAAATGTATTTTTTTTTTTTTCTTTTCTCCTGCTCTTTGTGTTATAGGAGCAGCTGTCTCAGGTCCTTGATGCCATGTTTGAGAGGAAGGTGGCACCTCAGGAACATGTGATTGACCAAGGTGATGATGGAGACAACTTCTATGTCATTGAGCGGTAAGCAGCTGTGACTTTGAAATGTGGAGTTTGTTTCTTTTCAGTTTCTTAGAAATGGCAGGGACAGTTTCTGAAAGAAACTGGCTTTTTGCAGTCATTGCCTTTTACTTTGATCTTTCCATTTTCCCCTTTAGGCCCACACTGACTTTTGGATCATTTTCCCAGGCACAATCAAATTTGACAGAGGTGGACATTTCAAACCTGCTAGGTTTTAATACATTGTATGTAGTTGCATAAAAATTCAAATACCGCTTTCTCTGAGGAATGGTGGTAGCGTCAGCTTGCCAATGATTTGTTCAGTTTAGCTTTTGTACTCATCAGCAAATGCATAGCTTAAAACCAAACATATGCTTGCTGAGGAAACTTAGAGGGGGGGGGGAAAAGAGGCTTATAGAAGGTGGAAGCAAAGATGGGCGGTCTGGGAAGAATACAGGAATGTTGTCCAGGAAGCTAGGGACCAGGTCAGGAAAGCTAAGGGCCAGTAAGAACTGAGTCTGGCAAGGGATGTGAAAGATAACAGGAAGGCCTTCTATAGGTATGTAGCAAATAAAGATGGATTAGGGACAACGTGGGCCCTCCAGAAGCTACGGGGAGAACTGGCTACCCTGGATTTGGAGAAGGCTGAGGTTCTGAATGACTTCTTTGCCTCAGTCTTCACTGGCAAATGCTCTGACCGCACCACTCAGGTCTTGGAAGGCAGATGCAGGGGCTGTGTGAATGAAGACCCTAAGCTCACTGTAGGAGAGGATCAGATTCGAGACCATCTTAAGAACCTGAACGTGCACAAGTCCATGGGGCCTGATGAAATCCATCCACAGGTCCTGAAGGAGCAGGTGAATGAAGTTGCTAAGCCATTGTCCATCATATTTGAAAGATCATGGCAGTCAGGATGATAAGGGGACTGGAGCACCTCCCCTATGAAGATAGGCTGAGAAAGTTGGGGCTGTTCAGCCTGGAGAAGAGAAGGCTGCGTGGAGACCTCATAGCAGCCTTCCAGTATCTGAAGGGGGCCTATAGGGATGCTGGGGATGGACTGTTTGTTAGGGACTGTAGTGGTAGGACAAGGGGTAACGGGTTAAAACAAGGGGAAGTTTAGATTGGATATAAGGAAGAAATTCTTTACTGTGAGGGTGGTGAGCCACTGGAATGGGTTGCCCAGGGAAGTTGTGAATGCTCCATCCCTGGCAGTGTTCAAGGCTCGAACAGACATGGTTTAGTGTAAGGTGTCCCTGCCCATGGCAGGGTGTTGGAACTTGATAATCTTAAGGTCCTTTCCAACCCTAATTGTTCTGTGATTCTGTATTACACTATTCTGTGTTCTATGTTATATGCCGTCTGTAGACACTGTGTCTTTACTGAAGGAAGGAGGGTGAAGAGCCGCAATAGAAATCTCTGGGGAAGGAGAATACAGGACATTAGAATCCACGGCAGAGGCTATCATGAAATAACCTGGACTTTGTCCAGTTAGTTTTAATTACTGACTTCAGAGAGACCTGTGGTTAGTTTGCTTCTGTTTGTTATGGGATATGTACTTGCAGAGTTTAAGGTGCCATTTTGCAATTTCTTGCATTTCTTGCCATCTCAAATGGATTCTGACCATATGTCCATTCCGCTGTCCTCTACCATACCATCCATTAGCATGAACCAGTGTTCCATTCCTCCACTCTGTGTTGCCAAAAGAATGTGGCAGAAAGTCTATGTTGGGTGTTACTGAGTAGTAACAGCAGAGCAGCCTTTGCTGTAAGCATTGACTCTGCTGTAACTTTTATGTCAGCTATTCAGTTATTAGAAAGAATTCTACAGTTATGAATTTTCCCTTCTGGTGCTTCCTTCACCTCCCACCCCCTCATTTTTTCATGCAAAAGAATAGCAGGATACTGGTGCTTATGGAAAGGTAAATACTTCCAGTTGCTTACAAGTACAAATTCATAAGACTGGCTCTTTTAAGGCATCAGAAGCATGTCTTGTTACCTTAAAATAAGTCATGAACGCCTAAATATCCATGAGGATTAGTTTCTTCCTGTCTGAATGAACAGTGACTTTGTGTTGTGTGTGTAACTCTTTAGCTTCTTGTCTACATAGAAAAGCAGGCTTTCTGGCACAGATCTCTTTTTTCCAAAGTCTTTTGCTGTAATACTTCCTCACCAGACCCCTTCATCCGAGGATCTTTGACTATGTGCAAAGGGACAGCAGGGAGGACAGATGCAACTTGAGGATGCAGCAGCTATTTAGTGTTTACTCCATGGAAGGGAGAGCTGGGACAAATGTGCTGCATGGCTTAACATTAGTATGCTCATCACTGCTGAGGAGGCACCTGATGAGTCTCTGCTGATTGAGCACTCATCAGGCAGGAGGGGCAGTGTTGGTCTCTGGTGCTTCTTGGAACAGACTGATCCACAGTTTTGCTGAGTTGCCTTTTTTTTTTTCTTGGGGTTTTATATTTTTTCATGTCAGTATTTTTCTTGAGTCCTTGAGCTCCTAACAATTGCCATCTCACTAGTTACACTTGGGGCTGTGTCTTTATATTCTTATCTTGCTGGGCTTTAGCTCACAGACTGTCTCACAGCTCAGTAACACTTACTGCAATAAATCTGAGCCAAGGTCACCCAGTGGTGCCTCAGCAATTTAGTCCTTGGGGCACAGACAGCTCAATGCTTGGCTGAAGCTTACATGGCTGTAGTTGTTTGGAAATAAATGGCACTGGTAAGTGACTTTCAGGCTGAGGGATGGGAAGAGGTTGTTGGGTTTGCTTGAAGTGCTCACAGATGGCTCGTCTAGATCGAAAAAAACTCTGAAGATTGTTGCCTCTGGTGCCCCTCAGAGAATCGTTAAGTAGATTTTGAGCATTAGAAGAATCAGCAAAACTTTTCCATCAACACTAACCCTTATTTAGTTTACTATTAGCATGCTGTTTGGTTTCTTTCTCTGTCTCCTAGGTGTGAGTAAGCAGTAGAGTGTAAAAAGTATCTGGTAAGGATGCTATTTAGTCTTCCTGTGCCCAGCTTCCTCCTTTAGCTTTCTGGGTGACAGAGAGAGACTACATTTCTTGGATCATCTGACATGTCTGAATCTGGCCCACCTGCTATTGATCCAATAACCAAAGTTTCCTCTGGATCTCAGAGGCTTTAATGCAAAAAGCTCTCAAGTCATTGTGCAAAGCTTCCTCACTTTGATGTGTTTTAATTCTTTGATTCATGTGATGTCAACTTTAGGGGATCACCTACAAATGAAGCTGGCATAAAGCTGTCCTGTGGTATGTTTTTTGTTTTTAGCTGCAGCAAGTGTTCTCAGAGGTAACTAACAACCCCAGGGCTGTCAACTCTTCAAGTTTGAGCACTGCATGCTGTAACCTGCCTTCTTCAGCAGTCACACCTCAATGAAAATGGTGATAAAATTCCTCAACTAGCTTTAAATCCTTCAGCTTGAGGATCAGTATGTGCTGCTCATAAGAAGACTGGTCAGTTTGCACTGCAAAACTCAGTATCTCAGGGATATAAAGAAAGCCCCTTCTTCTGATCCCTGTGCTTTTATGGCATCACTGTTACGCATACAAGAGCTAGATCTAGCATGTGCATATGCAGATACAAGCTACAATTGCATCTTGGGTTGTGATATAGATGTACCCTTAAGATGGAGTTGAGACAAAGCATAGGAGCAGGTGAGGAGTTGGATTGAGTGTGCCCCAGTGGTACTGCAGCAGTGCTGTCACTGAGAAAATGGGCATAAACGGAGCTGAGTCACTCTGGAGAGGCCTCACTGCGTAACACACATGCTGTAAAAGGACAAATACTGTTAAAAACAATGGAACTACCTATCATGTTGTAAGAACAATTACAATAGTAATGTCAAAATACTATGCAGAAGAAACAAAGTGGATCCTGCCCAGCTCTGTGAGGAGTAAAATGCTTTTGAAAGAGAGAATTATTGTGAAAACAGTGTAGATAGAAGCAGCCTGGTATCAGGCAATTGGAAAGCTCACTAAAGCATGTTCCATCTCACTTAGCAATAAGAGGGCCATTTGTGTAGCAGCAAAAAGCTGGTTTTATCATTTGTACTGAAATGTTGTCTAATAAAGAACATCTATGCCATTGTTTTCTAGAGGGTCGTATGATATCGTTGTAGCAAAAGATGACCAGTCGCGCTGTGTAGGCTGCTATGATAATCACGGCAGTTTTGGGGAGCTGGCCTTGATGTACAACACTCCTAGAGCTGCCACCATTATTGCCACCACAGAAGGAGCCCTCTGGGGACTGGTAAGGAAAGAAGATTGCTCTCATATGCACAGTATTTTAAACACTTAACTTGCTGTGTCCACTGCTTCTTTTGGTATGGCTTGTTGTGCTAATAGCTCTTTCATCATGATCTGTTATCTCACCTTCTGACATAAGAGATCCACTGTGCAAATCTTCTTGACCACCTTTACAGAACAACTTGTTTATAAAAACTCTATCACTAGTTTTATCTGTCCCTCTGATTAGTTTGCATTTGCTATAATTGTGACTTTTGTTTAGGGGGCAGGAAAAAGCTGGTTTTATTTTCACCCTGCAGAGGACAGTGAAGACTTAATGCACATATGTTATGGGAGGGAGAAAAAATATCTAAAGGACATTCTTTATTCTCAGCTCACCTTCCTACCATTTTAAGGGGAATGGGAAAGTGTTAAATACCTTCTTGAGGATACCGGTAATTTGAAGAGCTAGGAAAACTGCCCAGAGCTTTGTTTTCCTTCAAAATAAACTGTCATGATGTTTCTGCTCCCTTTGTGTTTCACTCGAAGAGTTTCTCAGGTCAGCATGACCTATGAGATACCAAGCTAAATTGATGGTGTTGCTTTGTCTCTAGCCCTGCAGTGTTGAATGTGAAGCTGTAGACATGAGTTTCCTTTTTTAGTCCTTTTCTCTGTACTGTTTGGTAGGGTTATTTTCACAGTGCTCTCTTACTCATCCTCGAGGGCTCATATAATAAGCGGATTGTACAATCAGCAAAACCTTTGAAGCCAGAAGTGTTGTATGCTCTGTGTGCGCTGGGCTCCTTGGCAACTATCGCTGTGGGTTGCCCATGTGTTGTGACCTTCATTATGGGACCGATAAGCTGCTACACATGGCGTGCTTATGCAGTCTCAGCTCTTGCTGAGAGATCCGCCTCCCTTCCCTTTTCTTTTTGAGCCAAAATGAAAAATTTTTGGTAAATCAACCAGGGAGTAATGTCAGCATCTGATTTCTTGAACAAGATGGAACAAAGCAGCTACCTGAAAACTGAGCTCATTCATAAAAGGAGGAAAATGAGATGATGATTCTTTGTTCCTTTGCCTTTGAAAAGAACTGCGCAAATTGAGTTAATTTGGGGTTTGTTTTTTCTGTGATTATATTCACTTAATTCCAGGGTGTAGTGAAGAGGGATCTCTTGCTGGTCATCTGTCCTGTGGATATATTATTAACTAAAGCTGTATTTTCCTGCCCTAAAACATCAGTTATTTCTTCCAGTTACTCTGTAATTGCCATGTTTTGCTGTACCATTTTGTGCCTGATGTAATTTAAACATATTTGCATTAGTCTGCAGAAGCCATTGCTAAAGCTCATGGGTTATCTGCCATTGAGGAAATGTGAATTACTCCTGCTGTACTTCAGACTTAGGCCAACAAAAGCCTGGTGGAAGGCTCAGGCACAAAGCAGTTATCAAATGTGTGTCTCTTCTGGACAAAGAAATGTCCTCAGTTGTTTCTACTGAACATGTCTGGGGAGAACTTCATGATCACACACACTTCCTTCACTGCTCTGCCCTTCTTATTCAAATACTGCTGCTTTTCCCTCACTGATACTCTCAAGCAAATGCATTCTGTAATTCTTATGCTTTTGCAATGTCCTTGACCATTTCTGCACCTTTTTGCTTCTCCAAACACATACATTTGAAGAGACTTCAACCACTGAAGAGCTTATTAAAATAATAAAATAAAGCAATCCCTTATGCTTTATTGTCTCTTGTTCTTCTTATCTTTCCCCTCCTTCAACTTTTATATTCCACTAGTGTTGCCCGTATCAGTGACGAGTATTTGCAGCCTGCATCCCGTAAACCTGTGCCTTTACTTGAAAATACCCCTTCACTTCAAAGTGTCACTGCTGAGGTATCAATTGATATTTTCAGAAAATGAGATCCAAGGGAACTGGACCTACATGATCTTAAAGTCTTTTCCAGCCTTCACTGTTCTATGGCTGTAATGGCTCTCAGAATTTCGGGTGTTTCTGCTAATTGTGGTATATGGAAACTTAAAAAGATTTAGGGTTTTTTGTACCATTTTCCTAAGCAAATCTCTCCTCCTTTCTCCTGACTTTTTGATTTTTACACTTTTATGTCACCCTGTGCAAGGTGAACTCTCCTCTGTTCATAATCCAGTGCTGATCCTATCGGGGACCATGGGCACTATTGTAATGCAAACACTGACAAACATATCTGGTGGGCAATACTTTCCCCGCAGCCTGGGCGTGCTGTTTAGTTCAGCTCTATTATGACTTTTCTTGTCCGTGTTAGACAGGAGTTGAGCGCTGCCCTATCTGTGTGGAAATGGAGAGCGTTTTGTTAAGCTCTCTTGACAATAACGCCTCGAACATGTCCGCCGCTGCCGGAAGAGGCAGGAGCGATGGTTACGGGCTCGCAGTGCCGCCCAGTGGCCACGGAGCCAGCACAGCACTAGCTTCTACTTGGGGAAGAGATCATAGGATCGCATCATAGAATGGGTTGTGTTGGAAGGGACCTTAAAGCTCTTCCACTTCCAACCCCTGCCACAGGCAGGGACCCCCTCCACTAGAGCAGGTTGCTCCAAGCCCCTATGTCCAACCTGGCCTTGAACACTGCCAGGGATGGGGCAGCCACAGCTTCTCTGGGCACCCTGTGCAGCACCTCAACACCCTCACAGGGAAGAGCTTCTGACTAAGAGCTCATCTCAGTCTCCCCTCTGTCAGGTTAAAGCCATTCCCTCTTGTCCTGTCCCTACCTGTTCTTGTCCAAAGCCCCTCTCCAGGTTTCCTGCAGCCCCTTTAGGCACTGGAGCTGCTCTCAGGTCTCCCCTTCAGGAGCCTTCTCTTCTCCAGGCTGAACCAGCCCAGCTCTCTTCAGCCTGGCTCCAGAGCAGAGCTGCTCCAGCCCTCGCAGCATCTCCGTGGCCTCTTCTGGACTTGCTCCACATCCCTCTTGTGCTGTTGCCCCAGAGCTGGATCAGAAGTGCGGGGGGGGGGGGGGGGGGGTGTCTCCCCAGAGCGCAGCAGAGGGGGAGAATCCCCTCCCTTGACCTGCTGCTCATGCTCTGGGGATGAGCCCAGCACGTAGGCTGGCAATTAGGAAGCAGAAAGCTGCCTCTTGGATCCTAGAAGGGAAGGAAAGCGCAAGAATGAATCAAGCCTGTTGCTGTTTGATATTCTGTTCCTGATCTATTTGAGACCAGAATAAGTCTCCAATTTACCTTTAAAATCTGTGACTCAAGTGGAGAAGAAACCAATCCAGTCTGAGTCCTGCAGTTGCTTTAAGTGTTGGAAATGCCAATTTCCAATGGCTTCAGCAAGAAGAGAGCAGCTTTTTCACTGTATGTGGAAGCATGGAATGTATTAACAAAACAGCCAAATAAAACCCCAAAACTCAGCTCTGAAAAACAGTACAAAATAGACTAAAAATAGAATTCTTAAATGCATATGTTAGAAGGGCCAGGTCTTACAGTTCCCTGGTTTCCAGTTTATCACTGCAACAAGTGCTCTCACAAGAGCTGTTACGATCACCACTATGATGGATATAGTAGTGTTTTAACAGCTGGCTTCTCAGTCCCAGTGTTTGTTGCAAATCCTTGTTTATATTTGTCAGTTCTTTAAACAGGGAGCATTTCAGTGAGAGGAATAATGTATTTCTCTGCTGTTTCTTGCAGGATCGAGTGACATTCAGAAGAATTATATTGAAAAACAATGCAAAGAAGAGGAAGACCTATGAATTATTTATTGAGTCTGTGCCCCTTCTTAAGTCCTTGGAGGTAAAGCCTCTGCATCAAATTCTTGCATTACCATTAACTCTAGAGTCTGTGGTTCTGCTCTGTCAGAAATCTCTGTTACTTTTGCTTAGAAGAATATTTTAAGAGCAGCTTTGGTATCATGTTTGCTGTACAACTTAATTTGCATTATGGAAGTTGTACGCTTTGATTTCATATCCTTTATTCATAGTAAGCAATTTGCTGATTTTTATCTCTGTATAAAGATGTAAAAAAATCACAACGGAAAACAATCTATAAATATATCAGAGAGCAGGTATTAAAGTGAAAATCAGAACTCCAGGCTGTGGTTTCCTTTGAGGGTGTGATATTGAAGTAGTGAAAAAATCGAAGGGATATTTGCCCTTTACCAGCCATGAATGATTTCACATTTGAGACAAAAGATGTGGCCCATGGTAGGTCTGTCTTTAACCTTAACCAGTATTCGGGAGGTAAACTAAGAATAGGCTAAAGGGAAGCAGTGCTACCTGGGAACAAAGTGACAGATGCCATGTTCATGTGAGTGGTGCATGACTTTAGGAGCAATGTGTAAATTGTCCCTTCTAAGCTATTGAGTCACCCTGTATCTTCAGAGGACTTTCGGAGCCGTACCATACTGCTCTGAAATTAGTCTATTTCTGTCCTACACTATAACTTAGCTTTTCTTTGTTTTCTCATCACAAGAATATTTTTCAGCATTATTTGAGTAGAGCTTTTGATCTCTTTGAGGGAAGATTACAAAATCTCAAAGTATCATTAGGTGGGAATAGCAACCCCTAATACATATTGGATGTATGTTAGTAGCTGTGGAAGGGGTAGGTTGCACAACATCTCCTCCTTCTGTGGCTGGCTTAAACTAGTTCTGTCAATGTGACTTTGAGCACAAAAATGACTCATAAATACTTAAAGATATAAAAAAAATAACTCATTAGCACTGGATGGCTTTTTGCATGACACACTGCACTTGAATCATACATGGATCAAAATTAAGTTTTTCCAATTTGGGCTAGCTGAAGGTGCATTTGTTAAATGGATGGATTACAATTGAATCATCTGTCAAGATATTAATTCTAACTGTAGGATTTTCCTCCTTTCCTAATATGTTTTTTACACTGCTCTGGAGCAACACAATTGTTTTGTGCTGTTCAAGATGGACAGTGGGAAACACTGGAGATAAATTTTACTGTTCTTTCTCCCTTCCTGCTTTTAATGTCTCAGGTGTATTTCATTGCACGTCAGATTGCCCTTGCTGCTGGGAATCCTGTTCAGCATCTGCTTACAATTTAGAGCCGGCATTCTTTTCATATCCCCTTCCTCTCTCCTTTCTAGGATTGAGTTGTGGGACACAATTTCCCCCCATGTATTCCAGTGTATGGTGATTAAAATATTTAGAAAATGTGTTGCTGGTGTTTCTCATTGAAGTTTGTTCTTAGAGAGGTTATGACACTTTTCTGAGTGTTTTCTTCAAATTTCAACTTAACCTCATAGGAAATTATTTTTCCCTCTCCCTTTGCTTTAAACCAGCCAAGTCAGTTATTTGTTAACTTTGGGAGCAAGAAAAGCACACAGATGGGGCCACTAGGCAATTTTCTTCCCTCTCAATTATAGTAGTCTTGAAAGCTGTGGTGCTTTCAAGATAGCATCGTTGAAGGGGCTGTATTTTTCAGTACCCGGATACTGTTTGTGTCTAGTGAATGCCTCATCATTTCAGGGCTACAGGGTTTACCAGAGATGTACTACAAGAGATGATTGTTTAATGTTCCTCTTTGTTCCAGGCATCAGAGCGAATGAAGATAGTGGATGTTATAGGAGAGAAAGTGTACCAAGATGGAGAACGTATCATTTCTCAGGTACTTGCAGTCTAAATTTTTCTTTACCATTCTCCTTTCTCTGCTGTTTTTCTCCTGTTTGGAATTGACTTACAGAATGCTATTACTTAGACCAACTTGGCACTTACTCTTTTAATACTTCCAGTTTATTTAACCACTTTTTGAATGTCTGGGAAATGGTCAGTATGTATTTTGCTATGAATTTATTGCAGTACTTTAGCTCCTGTGTTTTTCTTCTCTCATCTGTTTGGGTTTTATAAATGGTCTTTGCCAGATTTCCAGGGGAGTGTGCTATAAGAAGCTGACATTAAATGTCTCTCTGCAATTTCCATGAAAGGACCCAGCTAGACTTTTCACAGCACCTATGTCCAGATTTAACAAGGAGTCACAAGCAGGTGGTAAAGGCATCTCTAATTCCTAGGTCTGACTAAACAACAAAACCAAAGAATTCAACAGGAGTGTGATTTAGATGAAAATAAATGAAGTCACTGGCAATGTTTCAGTAGTTGGACCCAACTCAGTTAACCAAGTAACTATCAGGGTTAACTAAACCCACTGTTTTTCCTGATGCCCTTAAAAAGAGTATTTCAGTGGTGAGTCGAGCTTCAGTTAACAGCCTTTGGTTGCTAGTGTCTGCTGTAATAGATCAGAGTGTTAGAACATGAAGCTGGACCAACTCAAGCTAAAGATGGGGGAGTTTTTTTGGCTGTGACACAACATTTTGGAGCACTGTTACTGAGGAAACACCGGAAATTTGCATAAAGTTTAGCTCAGGGATGCTTTGTTGCAGAAGTGCTCTAGTTCAAGTGGAAGTTAAGGCAAGAAAGTCCTTGGCTCACCTGTTACTGCAGGTTTGTGATCACAACTGTCATCTTGTTTTATAAACAAAATATGACTCCTTGAATGATTAATCTTAATTACCTTGAATGTCAGATAACTGAATGTAGGAAACCTTAGTTTTATTATGTCCAAAAATACCCTCAATTTAGGAAGTTGAAAATCTCATTGCGTAAGACCCTGAGAAAAATGAACTCTCAGCAAAATCAAAGCTTATAAATCAGTCTCAGAACTGGGAGCCAATACAATCAGTGATCCAATTACACAGTTGGTTTTAATCTATTGTAATAACTGAATTAAGGGCTAGGATGTCTTTACCCTTTAAAAGGAAGATTAATAGGTCTTCGTTTAAAGATTAATAGGTCTGGGTGATGGTAGTACACTGCTGAAGATGATGAAATTTCATGCTTGGAAAAGATGTGGTAGACCTTCCATTACAGTAGTTCATCCATACCAGGAACCTCTTTTTTCTCATGACTAATTTTACATTTGAGTTACCTTTCTGGAATTCGACTCTTTAGTTCAGTGCGGTATGCTTGGAAGCACTTAAATTGTTAGTGCCTGCTGGTATTAGAAGGAGATCTCCCACTCAGTTGATTTTTCACTCTTTTAAAGTACTCTTTTAGTACTCTCTCAGAAGGGTGCTGAGTGTATTAGTTCATGTTCTGATAGATGGCAACAGTGAAGGAAAAGCTTTGCACTGGATGGTTCACAATATCCCCAGGAAGCCTAGCTAAAGGCTTAATTTCTTCTGTAATGTTTAAATCTTGCATCACCTTCTCCCAGCCCATGTTTCATACTCAAGTTGTAATCATCTCTTTCCATCCTTCCCATCACATTGTCCTTCCCATCACATTCATAGTCTCCTTGCCTGCTTGACTTAATGTCACATTTATCTTTCCTCACATTGTTTCACAGTTGTTTTGCTGAGCTGCTCCCATTCCTGTATCAGTTCCTTATCTAGCCTGTGTCTCTCTGAAGCCTCCCCTCTCACTGAATGATATGTACTAACAGCTCCTTCCCCTGTGGTTTCCTCTGGTATATTACCTAACTGGGCACTTTTTAATGTTAAGAATTAGAGTGTTTGTCAATTCTGGAAAATTTCCGCACAAGGCCTAGTTCAGAGTGAATGCTTTAATACCATCTGTACATACTTTTAAAGTAAACGAAAAAGTAATTTGTTGTACCTTTTCATCTTTCAGGGTGATAAAGCAGATTGTTTTTACATTGTAGAAACTGGTGAAGTAAAAATCTTGATTAAAAGCAAGGTGAGTTCAAATTGGGTGATTTGGCTTTAGGTCAGTCCCTGATTTGATTAATACAAGCGGTATGAAAAAGCCTACCCTGACTTATTATAAGATTTTATTTCTCATCATCACCCATGTGATGTAGGCTATATGTAAGTCCCCATACCTGTTTTGAAGAGGCCACAAGTCCCTTTACTGAAGTTTGAAAGTCTTCTGCTTGTATCTGCTTCTCTACAAACTAACCTGATACGCTCTCCTTGGCCTTAGGGGTGGATTTGAAACTTCTTCTAGGACAGCAGAAAACTGCAACTTACAAAGTCTGGGGACTGTTAATCTCTAGTGACATACTAAATGTTGGCATTTGAAAGGAGCTCTCTACAGTCTGAAGCAGCCTTAGGGAACAACATGTTGTGCATGATAAAACCTATGTTAGGTCAAAGTAACAGCAGTTCCCAAAGCTCTAACAGTAAATATCTGCCAGTCTTAACACTTGTGGGTGGGCATACACTTCTCTCGTCAAACTTCTAACTGAATGTGCTGTTAAGGTGGTACCAGTAGAGTGTGACTTGGGAATTGCTAGTTTAAAAGCCCTAAGCCAGTGAGCTGTTGCACATCTGTCAGATATCTGGAATTAACTGCAGCCTTATTCAAAGACACAACTGTGTGCAAATAACCCAAATGTACTGTTTGACAGACTGTGACAAGTACAGAAGTGAACCAAGAAGTGGAGATTGCCCGGTGTCAGAGAGGGCAGTATTTTGGAGAGCTTGCACTTGTTACCAACAAACCCAGAGCAGCCTCTGCCTATGCTGTTGGGGAGGTCAAATGTTTAGGTAAGCAGATGTTGTGTGTTTCTAGTTATCCTTTTCTGGTATTTGCTTGTTTTATGGATCATGCCCGAGTGAGCAGCTGTTCTAAAACTTAGCAGCCTCTTGGTAGCTGGTGGTCAGACATGAGCAGCTAAGAGCAAGGCTGAGCAGCACTGCTGCTTCCTTCCAGCACATTCTATTTTTTCTGCTGGTGTGGGCTGTGCTCAGGTTCTTGTCTACAGCTTGTTTGTCACGCACAGCTTTCAGGTGATCTTTTAATGCCAGTGTGTGTATTTGCCTCCTGTATTTATCCTTGACATCAGGATGAATCTTCATGAATCTTGGTTCTCCAAATAACAGTATGGAGGGAAATCAAAAATATGATTTCTGTTTCTGTGGCTTCTACTGAAGCCTCAAACCCAGATGGGTTGTACTGGAGGTTTGTGTTCTGAGTTTTGGCAAATGATCTTGTTTTCACCTCTGTTCCTTTGCAGTCATGGATGTGCAAGCATTTGAGAGGTTGCTTGGACCCTGCATGGACATTATGAAGAGGAATATAACACATTATGAGGAGCAACTGGTGGCAATGTTTGGCTCTAGTATGGACCTGAGGGATCCAGGGATTTAGGCACAGGGTACCTCAATGCCTTCTTAGTTCAAGACACAGAAAAGCCTCCTATCAGCAACACAACTCGCAAGAAAAACGGACACTATGGAACAGTTACTGCTGCTGTCTTCTTGGGCATTTTAGAAACCATCAACAAGTCTCAGCACAGATGGATTGCTCACTCCCTGCCTCCACCTTGCTGCTGATACTTCATCATTAGACCTAGATTAAAGATCATTGTAACCCTGTGTTCACTTACTTGGTTCAGAATGGCATCTGTCCAGCAGTTCAAGTGCCTGATATGAAACCCTAAGTGTGCAAGATAAAGAAGCCTCCTTCCTTCTGGTGTTACTGTTGGGATAAATTTTCAGATCAGATTCTGTAGTGGGAGGTTGCCTGTTCTGCAGAGGCAACCAGTGGAATACAAGCCTTTTATGGGCTTAATACCTTCTTCTGATGCTTTCCTTACACAATGTCAAATTTGCTTTTAATTGTAGCATCTGGGTTTGAAGTTAAAATATCAAGGGAGCCAATTAATAAGGTGGCACTGAAGTTTTCCTCCACCTGCTGAAATGAAAGCAGCAGGTGCTAGAGCTCTTTAAACCAAGTAAACCAAGCTGGGAACATGAGAGAGTCTGCTTAGCAACAAAATGCAGAAGATGAAGCATTACTAGATTTGAAGTGTTCTCTGAGCAGCAAAGAAAAATGTTTACTCTGTGCTGCCCAAAAAAGTGCAGTGGTTCAGATCAAATGGCCTGAAGGTGTCATAATTGTCATCTCCCCCAGTTTGCTCCTTGTTCCTGATACTGAGAACATTTTATTGTGGTGAGATCACAATACATTACCTTCTGTTGCTTACAGAGATCCTTTATACTGCTAGATTTCCCAGGGCACTGTTGTTGACTGGGTCAGTTTTAAAGCTTTTTAAGGAGGTGAATGTTTTGTAATTTAAATGAAGACAACTTCTGTACTTGTTTACAGGAGCTCCCCCCCCCCCCCCCCCCCAACATTTCACAGTATTCTGACTCATTAGACACTTCGATGCTTCCAAATACCATGTTGATTTGCTAAATGGTTGGCAACCTTTGACTTTGTAAAGCCAATGTCTTTGCTAACCCCACAGTTGGTGTGTTTGAGGAGTCTTTTTGGTTTAGGTGATAACTAAGCTAATGTTGATCTGTTGATCTAATGTTGACCTGTTAAATTTGCAGAATTTATTAGGTAGATTCTATTTCTATAGCTTTAATGACCTTAAATTGGCATCCTGCTGAGATTTTACGAGAGTATTACCTAAATAAGGATCAGACCATAAGAAGGATGTTTTTATGGTGTATAAACAGAATATTTATATTAAGACATTGAATTTGTAGGTAATAAATTTAGTGACCCTTTGAATTTGCATTCTTCTGCAGCTCATGCAAAACTTCCTGGTGTTTTATGGGGTTATAAACTTTTAATTGTGGATGCTAGTATAACAGAATCTATTCTCTTTTTTCATGGCCATGTCAGCAAGAACAGAACAATGCTAATATTGAATTCCTGCTTCTAGTTACCACAGTGGACATTTCTCTAAGGCACGAGATGCTTAGCTGCAACTCTTAAGTTGATTTCTGGACAGTTTCTTTTCCTAAATGGATGAGCTCCTCCCAGTTCCTGCAATATGAGTAAGATGGAAACTTGATAAGTTCGAATGGCTGTTGTCCAGTTACTGTAATTGGAGTCATATTTTTATATAATGCAAATGATTTGTAGTGGACACCACTGAACTAGGTGTTTCCATGTTATTAAAGTCCTGGTTGTGATGTCTAGTGGCTGTTCTAACTGCATGTGTTTTAGAACAGTGAATTTCCCTTGCTTTGCTGGGCTGTGTTTTTGTTGCAAATGACAGCCAAAGAAGCAGCAGGTACTTCTCATTCATGCTTCGAAGGTTTAGCACCAAAGACAGAATCATTCTTTTGATTACAGAATTAAAGAATAAAACAAACCAAAATGAATCAGCCCCCTCCAAAACAAACCAACAAGCCCAACCAGAAATGATAAAAGCCCCCACTCATCAGGTCCTTGCATTAAGAACAGATAAAACTTTAGGATACTTTGGGCTCCAAGACAAGAGTCTGAGGCTGGCTTGTGACTGTCCAGTGAACCAGACACAAGCTGGTCTTCAGACCAGTGTCTGTGCTCCCTCTGCTGTCATTTGAACTAAAGAGAGCTTGCTGTGACTGATCACAGCCAACCTTGTTGCTCCCACGCAGAACATCCTCTCCTTTGCCCAGAGGAGCCTGGTGGGTTGGGCTGACTTGTGGATGGATTCTGCTTCTTCCAGCCTTTGGTTCTCTACAGGACAAGATTGTAAACCTTAGCAGATGCAAATGGTGGCAATCGTTCTGAAGCTTAACCAAAAATCCAGGCAAGGCTGATGTTAGATTCTTAAGGTAATTCGGCCTGGCAGGGAGGATTTCATAGAATAGTTAGGGTTGGAAAGGACCTTAAGATCATCCAGTTCCAACCTCCCTGTCATGGGCAGGAATGGCTCACAGTAGACCATGTCGCCAAGACTGTCCAAACTGGCGTTGAACACTGCCAGGATGGAGCATTGCCAACTACTTTGATTTGGGGGCTTCTAGAAGTCAGAGGAAAGGATGAGAATGTCAAATCAAAGATTGGGATTGCATGTAAGTGAGAGCAAGCTTTTTGAAGCTTTACCTTTCCCTCAACTCCTCGAAGTAGAGGCATCCTGAGCAATGCCATCCCACATCCAGGATCTGTGTGACATCATTGTGAGATGTAGAGAGGCAGCCTTACCTTGAGCTGAAAGAGAACAAGCCTGTAAGGAGGTTCCTTAAAAGCTGTTAATTTGCAATGTGCCCATTGAGTTTGGTCTGGTTTAACTAGACTCTTCATACAATTTTGGAGCATGAAGATAGCGAGAGAAGCTTGTAGTAAGATACTCAACTTTGCCAAGTATTGGGTTAGAGAATCAGCAAAGAGCAAAGTTGGAAAGCGTGTGAGTGGTGATACCACGACCAGGGAGTGAAGCGAGGTGCCTGAGTGTGAGGATTTTTCCACACTGCTGCACCTCAGCTCACTCCTTTTCACTGTTCATCCGAGTTGTCACGGAGAAAGAGCTCAAGTGTGGTGGTGTTACCACTCAGTGTAAATCTGCTGTGGAGGCTCTGAAATTGGCAGAGAGAGAAATCTTGTTTTGAATAAAATAACTCAGCTGCAAAGTGGGAAAAGAGGAAAGTATCTTTGAGACTTGCAGGAGAAAGAGTCTCTTGTTTGTGATTCCCTGCTTGTGATTGTTGTGAAGTCAGTGAGAGGAGCTTTCAGTGGTCAGACCCCCTGACGTAGTATTTCTGTGTCCCAGCACAGGTTTCACACTGTAAATGAACAAAAAAGGGCAAAAGTGCAAACCTTGAAACTTTCAGACAAAACTTTCAAAACAAAGTGCAATTTGCACAGAGGGCAAAACCTGAAACCCCTTTGAATGTCACTTGTGCTTTCTTTTCTGTTGCTGAAAGCAGACTCTCGTTCTTGATGTGTTTGTAACCTCGTCTTGCCAAAATACAAACACTTTGGGTTGGTTTTTTTTTTCACTACAGGTAATTTCTGTTGTTACAGTTATTGCTGGTTATTTCCACGTCTTTCAAACCATATATTTTATTTTAAGAGGCCTTCCTTGTGGATTTCCTGCTGACGGCCTACAGCACTACACTTCCCTTTCAAGATGCAAGAGGGAGTCGGTAACCTCATAGGAGAACACTCAGCTTAGCTGGCTGGAGCTAATAACGCGCTACTAATTTTCCTCTGCTCTGAGGCAGGAGGGGAATTACATTCTGCAAAAAATTGCTACCTCAAGGCTCCAAGTGCTTTTAAAGGTCTTTCACTTGGGAGAATTTAATATGACAGTTCTTAAAGTTGGTCTGTTCTGTAGAGTTAAGTGGGTTTTTTAAATTGATTTATCGAGGGACCCTCATTTTAATTCATTTTACATTTTGTACTTGATTCTCAAAGGATGGTTCTTGCACTATTGAAAGAAATACATCTGCCATATAAACATATGGTTTTAACAAACCGCTCTGGGTTTCAGCTTCACTTTTAGTTAATAAAAACCTGACATGTTGTGTCCAGCCTTCCTGTACAACCCTGTGTGTGCTCTTTATTGACACAACCCTCAGTGCTTACATCCAGAGCGGACTTCCCAGCAGCTAACTGGATTTACTTGGGGTGCCTGAGTTGCTTGTGTTATCAGAGCCTTACAGAGAACAGCACTTGCCCTGTTGCAGTAACCAAGAGATTTATCCATGACCCGACCACCAACTTGTGCTGTTTTGTGATACAGTTTTACTAATACCTTAAAAATAATCCCAGTTTCTGTAGCTATTATTGCTCCCAATAAAACTGGCTGCTCTGATATGTCTGCCAAATTATCGTAGAACTCATTTGTTGTTTGAGCACTTTGCTAACTGGTTCTCTGCTCCCAGGAGAAGCAATATCCAGAAGGTCTCTTGCTGGCCTGCACCAAGGGCTACTGAATTTTACATGCCAAGCTGCCTTTTTTTTTAACTGAACTAACTATTTGAAAGGAAAATTACTTTGGTATATGTGAAATTGCCTGTTCAAATGCTCAATATTTGCTTCTGCTGAAGCTTTATTTCTAAGCTTGGAGTATTTTCTGTATGGTTTGTAAATTAGCCTGGGATGGGTTGTGATTCCAAGGCCGCTACTGAGATATGGTGCTTCAGCTTTGAGCACTCCAGCTCAAGGAAGATGACGCCTGAAGGGGGCAGACGGCAGCAGAAAATACTTCATTTTGCAGAGGGATAAGTTAAAACTGGGATTTTTTTTTTTTTTTTTCTATGTAAAGGACAACGGTGGGGGATGGGGGAGTGGGAGAGGGGCAGGGAATATTAAAACAATCCAGGAGGAGGAATGATCCTATATTGATTAGGACAGGTGTGTTAATACAGCAATGAGCAACAGCAGGGAAGCCATTAAGCATTAAAAAGAGCTGTGTGGAAGAGAGCTAGAATAGACGGGGGGGAGGGGGGGGTGAAATCTTCCACCGCTACTATTATTTTTCATTTTATTTATTTCTAAGTTGTAAATGAGCTCTGCTGAATGCTCTCAGTATCTGTCTGGGGCAGGGGTAAATCAGAGAACCTCTTGGGGTGGCTTTGCTGAGATCTGTTGCTGATTTTCTTAATACCTCCTTAAAGTCACTGAGGGCTTTAGCTGGCACAAATACAGTCTCCAGGCTTTGTGCCACATCAGCAGTAGGAAGATGAAAACAGGTAGTGCCTGTAGTAGAGGGAGATGTCCCCTTTACAGTATGACATGCAGGTAGGTGTCCTGGGACCGGGAAGGCCTGGGGGGCAGAGACAAAACCCCAGATCCAAACAGAGAAAGCCCCAAATCCAAACAGAGAAAATGTCTTGAACTCTGAAGTTCTGAGCAGCTTGATGGCAAAGGTAAATGGTATTAGTCACGTCAGAGGGGTGTTAGACTGCTGCTGTTACCCTGCTGGGGTCAATATTCATTCCTGGATCAACATTTTTGTACAAGAAATAAGGTTTTGTGACGTTCTTACCCTGAGGATGATGTTTCATCATTGTGGCAAAGATGCTTCTTCCTGCCATTTCTCCCCAAAGGATGTATTTCACCAATCCAGATCAGTGACAAGGTACTGGAGTTGTGTTATTTTATCTCAACTAGGTGGTGTTGACCAGTGAGGTGCAAAGATGCTGCCAAGCTACTTCTATGCACATTTCAAATCTGTTTCAGTTGTGTGTACTGCAGCCTAGAGGCTAAGAAACCCCAGTGCCCTCAGTGTTTGTGACCTGTTACTCTGCCAGACAACACTGCCAGGAACTGCAGCAGGACCAACAGGAGTTGTTTAAAGAGAAGTGATTGATGGAGCATCTCTGCGAGCCCCTCTCCGACAGCGCATTTACCGTGGAGAGTCCAGTATTTGCCTTTCTGCAGCTAAAAGCCACCCTGTTGCACTCGGAAATACCATCTGTTCCCACACCTTCCCAGAGAGTCATTTCAGCCTCAGAGGTGGCTTGTTGACTGCCTCCATCTGAGAGGCCGAGGTCGGGTTGGCCACACACACGGGCCTTGCCTGGGCCCTTCCCTGTTGGGTCCCCGTGCCCACCGGGGCAGCATCCAGCAGCCGTTCTCCTCTCCGGTACAGCCGCGAACCGGCCGCTTCCTCCGCAGGGAGGCTCGGTGCTTTCAATCCGGCGCTCTCGGCTAAGCCTTTCCCCATCAGTCGCCGCTGCGTCCCGGAGATGGGACGCGGACCACCGCCCGGTCCCTATGGCAACGCGAGGGCTGACCTCTCGGGGCCGCCGTACAGGGTTCGGTGAGGCGGACGCGCCGCCATTGGCTTGGGCGGGACCGGGAGGGGCGGGGCGGGATGGCGCTATCGGAGTCCGCGGCCGCAGCCGCCACCTTTGAGCGGAGGGTGCTGCGGAGTGCGGGGGAGCACCACTATCTGCGAGTGCGGCTGTGAGTGACACCCCTCCGGTCCGGGGGGATCCCCCGACCCATACCCCCCCTCATCTCGCCCCTTTGTGCTGCTCTGCTGTCCCAGGGAGCTGCCGGACGGCGGGGCCCGGCCGAACGTGGCGCAGTTCAAGCAGCTGGTGGTGTCGGCGCTGAGGGAGCTGCACGGGGAGGTGAGCCCGGACCGAGCGGGGCGCCGGGCTTCTGCCGCCCGAGGGCGCCCGCCTGGCTGCGGAGAGGGGCTGAGGAGGCGGGCTAAGGGGCCTGGGTTTGCCGCTGGTGTAACGTGTTACCGTGCCTCCAGACCGCCTTGTAACTTGCTGCGGATGCCGCCGGGGCTGTAGGCGTTGGTTTAGGGTCTGTGGTGAAGTGACTCCGGCATATCTGAACTTTAGACCTTGCGTTATCGATGTTTTTTTGCTGTAGTGAGGCTTTGAAAGGAAAGCTGTGGGAAAGTAATTGTTTCTTCGCTGTCTGCAGATCTATTCTTGCCCTGCGTATTGCTGGGCGACTTTAAATAAGTCCTTTCATCTCTGGATCCTTTGTTTTCCGGCTATAATTTGGAACTAAAAGTGGCTTTATGCGAAGAGCTTAGAGGGGAAGGGTGCTGCATAAAATCTTGTGGTGTCCTTGCTTAAACATTCACGTGAGATGTGAATGTAACTACACCTTCTGCGTTGTGTGCTGGGAGTGAAATCAGTTACTTATAAACCACCACTACAAGAGCATAGGGTGGTATTTAAGGTTATATTTAATAACCTTTTTTTTCATAGGTCGGAGCAGCTTTACCTGTTGATGTCTTGACATATGAGGAAAAAACTTTGTCTGCCATACTAAGAGTTGTTAGCAGGTAAGGTGCTCACACTTCAGATACTGCCATGAAAGTACTTCTCATAGGAAAACTCTTTAGTTAAGAATGGTCTGTGAAGAATTAAGCCTGACTTGCAAATGTCTGCATACAGCATGCAGAAAAGAAGTAAAAAATCACCAAGATTTGGTCATCTACATACATCAGTACATTGCTCTTGCTTTAAAACAGAATGGTCTTACAGGAACTAAGCACCATGGAAACATGTGGCTTTAAATCTCTTACTATAGTAAAGATGAGAATGGTTATGGTATGTAAATGGTGATTTAGGGGAAGAAGGAGCTTAAATGCATAGCTAAAACAAGAACAGGAGCAGTAAAGTGACCTTGAGAAGATTACAGTAAGTATCTCTATGTCAGGGACAAGAAGTCACTGTATGAACCTTTCAGGGCATGCTGTTCCTGCTGGAACTGAGTGGTGAAACACCTGCTGTTACACTCTGTTAAAGGTTTCGTTGCTCTGTATGTAACATGTTTTTTATTTAAGATGTTTGTGCCCCAGGAAAACTGATAAAACCAAATTTTATTAATATACTTTGTTTTCTGAGTGGCCTTGTCAAGCTGTGGAGTGCTCTAACGTTGCTGGGCTTCTACCAGAACAGGAGGTGTGCTTTTCGAGTGCTGCAGGTAAAGCCCTGTGGGGACTGGATGTCATTTAATCACAGACTGGTCTGTGTTGGAAGGGTCCTTAAAGCTTATCCAGCTCCAGCCCTCTGCCATGGGCAGGGACACCTTCTGCTAGAGCAGGTTACTCCAAGCCCTATCCAACCTGGCCTTGTCTCCCGCAAATATCAGTTCTTGCTCCAAGCCTGGCTGGGTGGCTGAGCCATAGCTATGCTTGCTGCCTCATCATACAAAGATGCCCTGGATGCAAAAAACATGTTGGTTTGGGATTGAAATGTGTTTCAGTGCAGGTGTGTAGGCCTGTGCTTGAGCAATTCTCATGAACCTTCTAAACTGTGACCATAATGGGTGTCTCATTACTTTATGGCTTCATTCCAGTGATGAGTCCTGATTTCATTAATACACCTGCAAGAAAAGAATTTCTGGAAAGATTTTGATCTTGGCCCAATCTTTGATATTCCCTGCCCCATTTCTTCACTTTTTAATAGTCACTGTCAACTGGCCTTGTTTAAAAATGCATGTGGAACATGCACTTCCAGAGCTTAGTTTTTCCAGAGGATGCTGCTTAATGAAGTGATTTCCAAGAATTCTTTGTCTCTGAAGCCATGGCTTAACAAAATCTGCTGAGCCATAGCTCTGAGCTTTTAACCTTTTATATAAAAGGGAAATCTAAGTATTTTAAACTTTGAGTGATTTGTTTTCTTCAGTGCTTTAAGTTTGTTTCTTGCTTGTTTTCTTTCTTCCAAACTAGACATCTCCATTTCTTCTTGCGTTAGCTGGCAACAGTAGAGAACTAGTCTTGGACTGAAAAAGTTGTTGGTCTGGTCCTACAAAGCAGAAGCTGCTTGAGATGTTGCAACTCTTCAGGCGTGGAATTCTTGGAGGGGGTTTCCCACAGAAAGACTTGACAAAGCTCATGTTTATCAACTCACTGCTTGGACGTCCCGTACTTCAGAGTTTACACATAAAAGTTGGAGACAGAGCTGAACTTACCAAAGCTTTTACCCAGGATGATGTTACTACATTTTCTCATTTAACAGGTGACACAAATCCCTTGCATTTAAATGAAGATTTTGCAAAGAAATCTAGGTTTGGGAGAATTGTTGTACATGGAATTTTGATCAATGGACTTATTTCTGCAGTTCTGGGTACTAAAATGCCGGGTGAAGGATGTATACTTCTTTCTCAGGCAATCAGATTTCCAGCTCCTTTGCATCTTGGTGAGGAGGTTGTAGCTGCAGCGGAAGTGCAACACCTGAAGGGTTCTATTGCTCACGTTTTGGTGTCGTGTAAAGTCAAAGACAGTGCAAAGACTGTTATGGAAGGGATGGTGAAAGTCATGGTGCCAGACCGTCAGAGTTGCTGATCCTGTGGTACTTTCCTATAAAGGCCAGAAATGTACACTTGATTTTGAGTCTGTCTTTTTATATGATATCACTTAATCTGGTAAACTTGCAACAAAACCCCTTCAGAGTGTTTCAAAGGCAGTGCCCAAACTGAATCTTCATAGAGATAGATTAAGATCTTGCATTAAACCCAGAGCTTTTAATTTTCCCCTGACCACTGCCAAGATGAAACCACTGTAACTAGGCATATGCTGTGACAGAAGTGGCATGTTTAGACAAGCTTTTGCTGCTGTGGAGAGTCTGGAGTGGCAGGGTTCAGGCTGAGGCTGTTCTTTTTTGGTCCACACTAGATCAGTTCAAACTTGTTCCCTCTGTATGAAGTTGTGTTGCTAAGGAGCACTGGAGGGAGGGGATGGTGCTGTGGGTTTAACAAGCAGAACAGAAGAGGAGGTACCAACTGTGTGAACATGTATTCCCCCTTTGCCCACTTAAAGTACCTGGGTTGCTGGTAAAACAGGCTTTGGGTAAATTCATTTGTAAATGATCTGGGTTAAATTATCTTAGTACCAACATAAGATTATTGTACACTAAGAAACTTTTTTTAGGACCGCCAGGAGTAAAAGTACAAGCTGTCTTCAATGGGTGGCTCATAATTTTCTGGCAAAACAGGTGCTCCCTCCGTACCTCTGCCAGCAAAATGCATTTGTAACTTTTGTTGACTGCAGATAACCTCAGAAGTTGCTTGCTATGGAAAAAGAGTTTGTTCTCAAACTGTGATGGAAGCTACTGGTGAAACAGTTACACTGCCTGGGTGTTGATGTCTTGTTTGTAAATGCAACTGCAGTGCAAGGATGAACCCCTGCTATTCAGTCACACTGATCAGAAAGAGAGGTCATAGAAACAGACTGGTTTGGGTTGAAGGGATCTTAAAGCTCATCCATTTCCAACCCCTGCCATGGACAGGGACACCTCACACTAGAGCAGGTTGCTCCAAGCCCTGTCCAACCTGGCCTTGAACACTGCCCAGGGATGGAGCAGCCACAGCTTCGCTGGACGTGTGCCAGCGCCTCAGCACGCTCACAGTCTGATCTTTGACTTCACTGTGCCCTTTGCTTTCAAAGCAACACAGAAACCGTGCTTGGTGAGAGCTTTCCTTACCTCATGTCTGTTGGAGCTGCTTCACTTCCTGTTGCCTTCTGCTGTGAGTAGCTGCCTGATCACCAGCTTTTGCAGTGATTTTTAGCAGGTATGCTCCTTTCCTCCTTCAGTGTTCTCCAGATGGTAAGCTGTCACGTCAGTGCCTGTTAACAGAGCAAATCGCATCAATATCTGACCTCGTTCTTGCTGTACAAGGAGGGTGAGAGGACAAGAAATAAACATTCAACAGAGAGCAGGTTCCCATCTGCCAAGTACTACTGAAATGGCAGTTTCTAACTGCTGTGGTGGCAGTTAGGTTGTGAAGCTCAATTTCACTTTCTTTGCAAGAAAAACCCCTTAAACCCTAAAAATCTACATATTAAGTGGAAAATACTGGATATTATTTTTTAAGGTTTTAGCTACAAATGAGCCCTAAAAGGTACAAAGCAGCTCTTTCCAGTTTGTGAGGACCAGCAGTGTCTTGGCGCTACCCCACCTCGGCCTGAAGCTGGTGCTGCATAGAGCTCCGCGTACGGGCGACTTGGGCACCCCGGGGCAGTCCCCTGCGCTCTGCCGGTGCCCCGGCTCCGTTTCCCATTCCCCATCCCGGGAGCGCTCAGTTCCCGTCCCGCCGCCGTCCGCCCCGAGGTGAGGCGGGAGCCGCAGCGCACGGGGGTGGCGCGGCGCCCCCTGGCGGCCGCCGGTGGGAAGCCGGCCGGTCGGCACTAGGGCCCGGCGGCGTTGTCTCGGCGCTGCCGTGTTGACAGCGCGGCCGCGCCGGGAGCTGCCCCGGGAAGCAGGTTGGCGGCGCCGGGCTCTCGTTCCTCCCTCCGCGCTATGGCCTTCATGGAGAAGCCGCCGGCCGGTAAGGTGCTGCTGGACGACACGGTGCCACTGACAGCGCAGATCGAGGCGAGCCAGAGCCTGCACTCCCACACGGTGAGCGGGCAGGCCGGGCCGCAGGGCTCGGCGGGGGGGGGGGGGCGGGAGCGGCCTGTACGGGGGATGGTGGGAGGGCGACGTGAGGTAACGGGTACCGCGGGACGCGGGGAAAGGGGTGCCCGGGCGCGGGGGGATCGGGGCTGGGCGGGAGCCTGCAGCAGGAGCGAGGCCGACTGGAGCGGGAGCAGGGCCTGGGGGGGGTGCGGGGGGGGCCGGGACAGCGGGTGTGGGGCTAGGACTGAGACCCGCGCTCTGGGGTCTCACCCCCCGGAGAGCCCCGGCCTCGGACGTGGCGGTGCTGCCGTTGCCTGGTCCCCTGCCGCGAGCCGGGGCTTGTCGGGCTCCTCCTCTCCGTGAAGCGGCTTGTCCCTCCGCAGCCCCTTGCCGTGGCTCTCGGTGCTGGTCCCAGCACGTCGGGGCGCAGGCAGTGGGCTTCGGGTTGTCCCGCGCCGAAGAAGGCCTTGTGCTTGCACGAATTGTAATCGCTGCTTTACCTCGGGGTCTGTTTTGAGTGTTTGGGGCAGAAATGGGCTCCGGTTGCTGGTTTCGGTATCTGTGATGAGGTTAGGTTTGAACGGGCTACGTTTGCCATCGGGTCGTGCTGTGTGACTGCGGTGGGGGCTGTAAAGCTGCAGAGACGCAGCAGGGTACAGCCCCTCTGCCTTTGTTGTAGGGAGTGATGACACTCCATAGAACAAGCCCTGGGTTACTTTTATGTCAGAGATTAATCTTCTGGGATGTCTTGCACACACACTGCCTACATTCAGTGTTCCAGCAGGCAGTAACAGTCTGAATTTCATCATCTTCTGTTTGCAGTTATTTCTTACTTTAAAAACTAGGTTTCCTTATGGCATGACCAAGCACTGCTGTGAATCAGAGAGAGAACTGGCTGTCACTTCTGATTCCTGCTTTAGCTGACAGCGGGGATGCTGGGCTAAAGCTGGCCAGAGGTACTTCAGCAGCAGGTACAAGAGCAGGAAGCATGTTTAAAATGGAGAGAGGGTGTTCTGCCCCTCACACAGCTCACATTCCTGCGTTGTTTATATCTCTTCCTGGTTCCTTCCATCTGGTGAATACTCTTAACCTGAATAACAATAATTGCAGATTCACCACAGGATATACAGCTCATCTGTAAACTGTCTTATTAAATACTCTGCCTGTATGTAATCCACACTTAAGAGGTGTTTTCTGTGTGAGGCACTCATGTTAACTAATGTTCCAGCCTTCCTCTGAACAGAAGTTATGTGTGAGAAACTGACTGGAGGATCTTGTGAATCAAGCAGGCTCTGGCTCTCCTTGCAGGTCCTCTAACACATAGAACTCATGAGGTTTATTATTCTGGCAAGCCTGATACTTTCTACCTGTTTCAGGAGCAGAGGGGTACATGTGCCAAGCCCTGTGAGAAGCTGTGTAGCTTCAAACACTCCCCAGTTAGCTGTCCAGATCATAGTTTCATTGTTAACTTGTTTCCATCATACCTTATTACTTTGTTGTTTTTTTTTTTTTTTTGCCAGTGCAAATGACAATAGCTTTTTGTGCTCTTCCTTTTGTTTTGCATGATTTTGGTTTAAAAAAAAAAAAGGCACAAAATTCTTTTAGAATGAGCACTTGGAAGTAGTTTTTCAGTCCAGACTCTGTGTGTGTTGCTTATCTGGGTGAGTGTGATAGCAAATGTTGCTTCCCCTCCCACCTTTCATCTCTGTATTCTCTTATTAACAGATGTTCAGGAAAGACTTTCTACTGATCTGTTCTGATCTTTTGTTAATACCAGAATGCTGGAGCACTACGCCTTTTGATTTCAAATCTGTCTTTAAGATACATCTATTAGTAATTGTTTGTTTTACTGCAGAAGCCCTGTTGATAATTGAAAGATGGCTTGAAGTGTGTAGCACAGATGGTTTATATAGAGGCAGTGGAGGATAACAAAATACAGGAAGCCATTAACAGACTGAGATTCTTACTTGATGTAAGCTGACTATTTTGCTTTGGACACTTCATCTTATGTCCCTGGCATCTGAATAATTTCTTTATTGGTGGGTGATGCTGTCCCTTGTTTGAACTTTCCTGGTTTAAATAAGCCACACAAATAGAACCTTGTGTTTGAAGAGGAGTGTAAATGAAGCCTCTCTAAGAAATAAGGGTCAAAGTGCTTTTGTGGGGCATTAAGGCTGTGTTTTACTTCATTATATATAGATGTAAGGAAGTATTTTGTCATTAACTGAATGCTTTGGGGGTTTGTTCTGCATCCTGCCTCAAAGAGGTACCTTCAAAAGATACAGATCTGTACAATTCTTCATCCCAAACTAATGTTTGGAGAACTAGGTCTTCACATGCCAGACTTGTTCTAAAGCTGAAATTCAAAGGCTTCCATGAATAAATTATCTATTCTTTTGTCAGCAGTATGTATTAAGATTTTATAATGCTGCTTAGTGTGGCAAGAATTGCTTTTAAACTTGTAATTTTTTTTTTTCCTGTAGAACATTGCTTATAAAAGCACTCATATAAAGACTATTTAGGCCAAGGTTAGGTGCAGGTTTAACATGGCAACTGAACTAGTAATAATGTAAACTTTCTGTGGATGCTGGAAATAGCCAGTCTTCTGAATAACCAGCTAAGGAAAAGGTGAAGAATTTCAGGAAAAGCTCTGTAGACATGGTGAAATACCACACAAAAGACTAAAGATTGTGTCAGATGAATACTTTGCTTGTCTATTGTTCTAAGCAACTTCTGTTCATTTAGATTTAATACATCAGCCTGAGTAAGTGTAAACTTAATAGTACTGAGTCAAGGGCTGTACTTGGCAGATGCTGAGTTTCTGTTTCCCGAGGATGAAGGTACAGCTCAAAAAACAGAACTGAAACCAAAACCCAGATGCTCCTCTGTACTTACCTGAAATCTCCAGAAACCTAAGACAGGACAAAGCTACTATTTACAGTGTACTTTGAGGGCTCGCATTTTTTGCTTAGTAAGATCATGTCAACCC